ACAAACTCACAATATATATATGTAGGAGAGAGGTATATATAATAATGACATACATTTGAAACTCCTTCTGGAACATCATTACCACTGGCTTCAACTGGAATATCGTCATATTTTTCAAAATTGATACCAGTATGTTGGCGATCAGGGTCATCAGGTGAGCCAAAGAGGTCCCTCTCTATACGTTGATTCTTTGGAGCAATTGTATGTACACCATCTCTCCAAGAACCATATCCATCTTCACCACGACGATTACTAAATTCTTCAGGACCTCCTGTACGATTACCAACATAATTACTAAAACGATTATTACGATAACCGGCATAGCGATCTCCCTGAGATGACGCTCGATCACTCCAGCCATTGCGTTGTGAGGTAGAGTAACCTATTTCACTTTGGCTACCTCCCCTCCAAGCATCTGGTCTAGGGAATGAATTACGACTATTCCAGTTAACTGCAGGTGCAGCACTTTTTATGGATCAAATGAACAAACGTTAGTTTCAAGAATAAAGTTAGCTTCATATTCCTTAAATAGCTCAAAAAAAAAAGGAAGAACTTGATAATATCTTTTATCACATGGGCTAACTAGAAGGAGTTGACGGAACATAATATTTAAGGTGTCTAAGGTTATTTTACTTAATATAATAAATACCTTTCATTTCGTTGATGTTGCCACCCGTTTGGACGACGAGTTTGGAGGGGTGTAACTTGCTCTTCGGGTTCATTATTATACTGTGAGATTGGCTGTGAGTTATCATTATCAATTGAAAACTGTTGTTGTGGCTGAGATGGGATTTCGTTAATGGTCGAAGTTGTTCTGTCAGATTTATTTCTCATGTGGGGAGGAACATAACGACCAGCGGTAGGCTTCCCCGAGCTTGGATTGTCCCTGATGCCTAAATGAGCTTTAATTCACAATATCATTAACATAGATGTTAGAATATAGAAATACAAAAAGGAAGCAACAGATCCGATTTAAAGGTGTATAATTTTTAATAACTGCGGTTAAATGGTTAATAAATCTTTACCAAATTGCTGCTCAAGAACAACGTTAGGTTTGC